CTAAAAGAAACACCAATAACAGGATCCAGAGAGAGAGAGATTAAAACTGGACAAGAATAAGATGCCTCTTCTGAAGGTTTTCCATTCACTCAAATTCTGTTAAAATGTTAGCTGAAATATGTGAAAGACAAGAAAGGCTATTCACAGTAGAATACATTGTCTCCGTTAGAAACTTTTTCCTTGGCAGGAAGCTCTGATTTCTGTGGAGACTTATTCACAGAGTGATCAGAATTATATCTGTGAGTCAAGGAATGAAAAAGAAAATGACAAGTTGGAGGTCTTTTCATGAGGTGGTGGTGGGGATAAGATAACTTTCAAACAATGCAACTGATTTGTGGGAAACTGCATGAAACAGCTAGATGTGGTATAAATAATAATGAGATTGAAGTAAAGTCCAGTAACAACTCGTGATAATGAAAAAACTATTGCATCTCAGTAAAATTTGTAAATCATTTTGTAAGATTGAGAAATCTAACTCTTCCTCAGAATGGTGGCTGACTCTCTGCATGAACAAATCTTAGGGCTCCATTCACATGTAGGTTTTTCCGGGCTATATGGCCATGTTCTGGAGGCAAGCCCGGAAAAACCTACAACAACCCAGTCTTGCTTATCCGACATAAATCTAGAGTCTTGCTTATCCAACATAAATGGGCTGGCAGAACATCGGATAAACGAAAATGTTGGCTACTACAGAGTCTCCTATTTTCCATCCGACGCAGCACTAGATACCTAGAATACTAACAACAAGGACTCAAAGAGTTAAGGAAAAGCAATGTCTCAGGGCTAGAGTGGCCCAGCAAGAAGTATGCACATGTGGAAGAGGACGGTGGAAATCACAGAGGGAAGGAGGGACGATGCTTCCGCTTTTAGTCCTGTCCCCGTTTCCCCTTTCCTCCCTCCTCCTCCTCCTCTTCGTCTTGTCTTTTCACTTATTGGAAAGGGAGAGAGACTTGGGGAGAGCTCCTTTAATTGAAGGGGAAATGCTGGAGGAAAAGGGGAACATTGGATAAGAGCATCGGATAAGGCGGAATGTCAGATAAGCGAAGGTCGGATAAGCAAGACTCTACTGTAATCAAAATCTCTTCTGGAGCCATTCAGATCAAGACTGGTATCCTTGAAGGGCGATTATTTGGGTATCAATATTTTCAAAAATGGCACATTTCAAACTTGTCTTGAATCTCCTGTGGTGGGTACATCTAAATTATAGAAGTTTATTATCACTTTAGCAAAGTGCAGTGCAATCTTGCAGCATCCTTGTGAAATTTCTCTACTGCTCTCTCTGGAGCTACAGCTTTCAACATCTCTGGCAGAAAATGCTAAATGACAAATGCCATGATTTCACAGGATGGAGTCTAAACCTTCCAACATTTCATCTGGAACACATGTAAACAATCAAAGTCAGACGCTGATGAGCCAGGAACAAGAGGCAAAAAGGTATTTTTGAACAAGAACACACAAAATAACTATTTTAAGCCAGGAATGCCTGGAGTTTATGTATTGTGTACCACTTTTTTTCTCCTCTCCCTCCTGCTGGGCTAATGGAATTTAAACTACCTTTGTACTATGAATTCAGTCTGCAGCAATTTGGAAAGGGGGGATGGGAGGAGGGTAGAGCAACGCACATTTTTAAAGGTGGTTGAGAAAGTGGGACCAAGGTTGATTTCCTGCCAGATCAGGGCTGTTGGAGGGCATTGGAGCTCTGGTAGTTAAAGTGGAATCAAAGTGCTAGAGTTGCATAGTGTAGATTCATCCAGAGTTCCTGGCAATGTTTCACTCAATGTTTGGAGCACTGTCTGGTACCAAATCTTCAGTGGTGATTACACTTTCTTCTCTTTGTTCTTTTTTCAAATCAAAATACAATCTGCACAGGATGGCAGGATGCAAATGGGCTGTTTGAAGGTTTTTAATGACCCAGAACACTTCCTGGATATATCAGCAGTCTCATAAACAAGGTTCATGGGTCATCAATGTGCCTTGCTTCACTAGACGCAACAATGACACATGGACCTAGTTGACAAGGCTAATAACACTTTCAGGAGGCTTCCTAGAATCTCATAAGCCTTCAGAGCAGCCACATCCATCTTGATTCCCAGGAGACTTGTATTTGATGATGAAAGGAAGATGCCTCCCCCTTCATGTCACTGCTACCATGATAGATTCAGCAGTGCTTTTCAAGAGGTCTTGGGGGCAGTCCCCGAGGCCACTTTCAAAAGAAAAAACTCCTACACAACTATGTAATTTGAGAGAGTGAGTAAAAAGCTCTCCTCATTCCAGCTGCCACTATCCAAGCCTTTGTGAGCAAGAAGAGGCACAATATCCCACACTGCCATTCCCTTTCTCTTCCCCTTACATGTTGTGTTTTAATTAGTTGCTAGCCTGAAGACAGAGAACTGTTTGGTTGTTCTTGTAATTGAAGAGTGCCATGGACAGTGATGGTGCTCTATAAATAACAACCACCACTACCACCAACTATAAAATGTTGACAACTTATGTGATTTAACTCTCATAGACCTTCCTATCTCTGTTTCTTCTCAAAGGTGATGTACTCAGCCCCTTTTCCAGCTCCTTTATATTTTGATTTAGTTGTGTTTTTAAACAGAGAACAGAGGTTCAACCAGGGTGGGAGGGAGGGAGGGAGGAAAACTCACTATGTGATAAAGGACAAAACCTGGTATAGATAAAAGATGTACTTTGAGATATTAAGTTTAATAACAGCTGGAATCACCATGCATCATGGCAAATCCAGCGGGGGGGGGGCATTGGGAACCCATTGCCCCACCCCCTGCATTACCCGACTCACTCATGGCCCCATCCCATGGGGGGAAGCATTTACCATCCAGCTTCTCCCCATTAATCTCCCCATCAACTCCCCATGGAAGCAGCATGCACCAGTTCACCTTCCTTTTTTTCCCACAAAGCCCTGCCAGAAGTAACTGTACATCATGTAATGGGAGCCAATGGGCTCCATGGAAAAAGGTAAGGTGAACAAAATTTGTGACCCTTCTGATGAGGTCACAAAGCGTTCATTATTTCTTAATGTAATCAAAATAAACAATATTTATTTGCCTGTTTATTTATATAGTTGGTCTTTTGTATCTGTGGGTTATGGTTTGAGAACTCCCATGGGTACCAAAAATGTGGATGCTTTTTTTTATGTCAAGAGAGACTAGAGAAACTACAAGTTGCTTCTGGTGTGAAAGAATTGGCCATTTGCAAGGATGTTGCCCAGGGTGACACCTGGATGTTTTGATAAAAGTATGATAGCTGGGACCCAGTGCTGGTAATGTTACATTGGTTGCATAACGCAGCTCTGAATTAGAGAAGGGAACACGTGTGTGGGACACAGCACCATGTGCGCGAGAGGCCGCATGCAATGAGAGACACAGCTGTGACAGAGTCAACAAGGTAATTCACTGGAAGGGGGAGGGGAAACAGCCAAGCATACTCATGTAGCCTACCGGAGATCCTATCTAAACTCATTCTCCAACATTGGAAAGAAGGATAACGAGGGGAGAAATAGGAGGTGGTGAAAAATGAATGAAATCTAGTAACTGCTACATTACCTCACTGTTATCCTGTCCCACCTGCGTTACATTACTTCACTGGTATCCTGCCGCAGCTGCATCTCTCACTCGGTGTGCTGTCTCATGCACATGTTCCCTTCTCTAATTCAGAACCATGTTATGCAACCAGCGTAGAGCTACCAGCACTGGGTCCCAGTTATCAAACTTTTACCAATGTTGTGGGAGGCTTCTCTCATATCCCCACATGGGGAGCTGGAGCTGATAGAGAGAGCTCATCTGGACTCTGCCTGGATTGCAACCTTCAGGTCAGCAATTCAACCTTCAGGTTAGCAGTCCTGCCAGCACATGGGTTTAACCCACTGGACCACCAGGGGCTCCATATGGATGCTCAAGACCCCTAATATAAAGCTTAAGCACCGCCTAATCCCTTCTATCCCACTATCCTTAGCACATACCCTGAAGGCAATTGTAACTCTACTTGTACTCACCTCCCCGTCTTATGCCAATATCCAGTTCCCTTTCTTCATCCCTTTTGCTCACTCTCCCAGCCTACCTCAGCGACTTCTTTACCCTCAATAGGGGAGCACCACAGAACAGCTTCTCCTGCCATGGTCCTCTCATGAGTCTACTGGGCAGGGCAGGGAAGAGGTGAAAAAACCCACAGGGCTTTTGTTGAATATTTGTGAATACTGCCTATGTTTTAATGAATACAATTTCTAGAAGCTGCAATGAATTGCTTTAGACTGATCAATTATGATAGTGAGAAATATTACAACAGTAACTTCTGCCAGAGAAGATAAAAACAAGTCATGTGAACTTCATAGTGCAGCCATTTCATATGAAATTGGAAACTGTGATCCTCTGAAGCAATGGAATTTGCATTAAATACTTATCATGTTCTAATTGTTTCAAGGAATCCATTCTAGCAGGAACAACAATTGGTTTTAGGGTTCTATAAATAGTCATAATAAGGTATAAAGTATAAATAATAGATCAAATTGCTATGTACATTTCTACTGTGTGCCACACATGGCAACCCCATGGTTTTATTAGGCAAGGAATACTCAGAGGTGGTTTGCCATTGTTTTTCTCTGCAATACAGCCTTAAAGAACCTGCTGTTTATTGGTGGGTTTCCCATTCAAGTACCCACCTGGCTTGAGTGATACTGATATGTAACAGTAGTGAAACCTTTTTAGTTAATGCCCCAAGGTTTCTTTAAATTGCTGTAATTGGAGGTCAAATACATATAACACAATCACAAGGTGTGTAACTGTTCCCTGATTGAATACCAAATCAGCCACCATTTTCAACTTCTACTAAATAGAAGTATATTCTCAGCTTAATTTGAGTTGTATAACATAAAATTTGTATACATGAATTTCCACAGTTTTGTCACAAGACTTCTTCTTGTTAGCATGATTTCAGCTGCTCCACCTTTAGGAAAAGGAAGAATAACGTTCTACCACCATGTCTACCTGTAGCAGAAAATCAAAGAGTGCCAGTTTGGCCCATTCTGGATGGAGGACAGTCGAACACGGAGGTGTCCCAAGAGTCGTTCCAGAACCTTCCATGCCACATCGTTGTTTCAGTAACAGCTGATACTGTTCCCATCCTAGAGCAAAGGAGTTCTGGTCATTATTGGAATCATTCAAGTGTTGCAGATCAGGTACCCACCATACAATGGGTCGAGGGGCACCATTGGTGTACTTGTAAGGTAGCAAGGGGCTGCTGAATTTTCTGGCCACCACAGGTAGGCTCCGATGTAGCCCCAACACTCTGTCCAAGTGAAAAGCCAGAACCTCATAGAGGTCAGTGGGCCTTTTGATTAAACCACAGAGCCCCTCCAAACAGTGACTTTTGGAGTCATGCCAGTTGACATCTTGGTTGGATGACAAGGCAACTCTGAGTATTTGCCCATGAGCAGGGATTCTCTCTTTGCTTTCCACTGTAGCATTGGTCAGAAACTTCATCTTGCGCACATCATCGAGAGTAAACCACGGAAGCGCCTTCTCATGAAACCTCAGTCTGTCCTCCTGTTTTTCAAGGTGGTCGTAGTCTTGAAGCTCTTTGCACCATGCTGATTTCTGCAGCCCTTCTGTATCTCTAATCCAAGTTGGAGTGCTCTGTGGACTCCGAGAGTGAGATTTATCCATCCGTCCCCAAGCGCCTGTCATGCTCTGGAGAGGCTGCTTGCCTGAGATAACAGCTTTGATCAAATCTGAGGGTTGGTGTTCAGCGCCAGCTGTCTGCACATCTGTTTTACATTGCTCCTGTGGTACAGTCAGCTGGCCTGCGGATGTATTCTGAAGCAATAGAAGAGATCCAAGCTTTCCATCTCTCAAAGGAGAAGAGGGGAAGACCACAGGACTCTGTGGTTTCCAATCCACTTCCTTCCCAGTTCTCCAGTGAGGGGGGAAACTCATCTCTTCCCTAGCACTCTTTAGATTAAAACCTCTAAATTCTCTTTTCTTTTTGTAGTTCGCTCTGGAAGGGTAGTCTTTCTGTTGGAATCTTTGGCTCTGTTCAGAGCCTTGAGATGCAATGTTATGTTTCCTGAGCTGCCCATTATTCTTCCTTCCTTGTAAATCTCTGTGATTCATCCCATCCTGATTGTTTGACCTCTTCTTCTGTTTGCAGACAGAATTTGATGGAGTTTGTCTTCCCAGAGGGTTTGCCCATTGTCTCTCGCTGAAGCGCCATACTTGCTGGGCAATGGAAGGGGTAGAGTTTATCCACATACGCTTGGAACGAGTAGCTGCCCCACGTGGCTCATCCCTAGATAGAAACTGGGCATTAGACTTCTTGTATCTGTTCAGGGATGCTGGAGAGAAGCTAGTAAGAGTGATCACTGATAAGGCGAGCAAGAAGCAGCAGCCAGCTACAGGAGATCTGTTCAGCCTCATCCTATAACATGTTCGATGGATCTGTGGAATAAAAACAAAAATGAGACTGTTGGGTTTCATCCCTGACTGCACAAATCTCCAGTTCTCAATGAGTAGTTAGCCTAGATAGACTGAGGGATTCCTCCCCAATTTCCTCTAGATAGTTTATTTTAAGAAGGGGTTAAGAAAGGGGGCTGTCTTACTCATCTTTGCATGCCATTGTCACCTCCCCTTTGAATACTTAGGAATGTGATATCTTTAGGGAAATGTAACTTCCTCTTATAAAGGTATTTTTATTGCCCTGGGCTGGCCATGTGGCCTGTCTCCATTTTTTGGCCTCTTCTCCCTTTGTTTTCTTCCTTTGGCTGTCTCCATTGTCTAAGGCAAGATGTAGTAGATATAGTTACTTTTATTATTTTTTCCTTTTCCTTTTTCCTTAGAAGATAGCTCAGTGAAGCTAGTCAGCTTCAAGAACCTTTCCTATCTAGAATGGATTTCTTTTATCTTTAATAATCATATTATTTTTGATCCTATGAAGCTGTGGATCTGCAATCCTGTTCCATCCTGTTGAATGGAAGCCAATACTTGCTCACTACATGTAAGTTTCTGTTGCTTATGAACTGTGCATCTAGCACTTTGCTATATTTTTGGTGGAATCACCCCCAGAGAGGGTTATTTTTTAGCCTAACAACTCCTGATTCCCAACAGAGACCATGTTAACAGAGGTAACGTTTAGGGATGTGGTTGAAATATTCAAATATTGAAATTGGAGATTTAAGTTTTATGGGTCTCTTGAGGCTCATAATGTCTCTATGTGAGTTTGGGACAGACTGGATACATATAGTACCTAGATTTGTCTCCTTTACCAATTGGCTCTATTATTATTTTAGTTGTCTTCCCACCTGGCTTCAGGGTTGCCAGATCTCTGAGTTCTGCCCTGATATTGTTTTTCACAAGTCATTTCCTGGTAGGAGATGAGAGTAATTTCTCCAGGTTGTGTGAGCTCAGCTCCAGGAAAGAGGAAAGAGCTGCATGCAAATTTCCAACACAGCTAATAGAGTAGCAGCTTGCTACAACTTGCAGGACATAATTCATTTGCCGCAACAACTTGCAAAGACTTTCCAAGAGTCTATGCATTTAGCTTCCTCCTTCCCTCCCAGTTGTTTTCAACAGCAAGATTCATCCTCTGGTCTAAGCCCATCTTCTGGTTAGAATCAAGTAGGCTTGGTTTTTATACCTCTTATGATATCATCTCCCTTAGAAGAAGGAACAATCCCCTCATTTCGCTTTAATCTGGGAACAGCTCATTTAACTAAGATTTCTGACATGATTTTCAAACAAAGAGCAAGTAATGACAAATGTGGATGCTTCGTCATAAAGTTTGCGCAATAAAATCACCAGGGGTTGAACCTAGGTCTCAGGTTTTAGTTCAGAAACTTCAGGTTTGAGTCAATCCTGCACAGAGGCAACCTTTTGGCATGCCTATCTTATCAGATATCCATAGAATTTGACTAAAACAGGAACATGTACAATCCAGCACACCAATCCCAGAGTCAGACACGACTGGACTTAATGTCAGGGGAAAACCTTTAACTTTACCTACATGTCTTCAAATGAGCCAGCATGGTGCATGGTTTGAATGATGGATCAGGACACTAGGGACCTCATCCCGTTTGGGGGGGGGGGGGCATCTTAGTATAGTGTTTTTTCCCATTTTTTCCCATTGTCTTTAAAATCAAATCATTTCTAAGATCCCATCACATATTGCTTTTCTTGCYCTTTCTCCTGAAATCATCTGTTTTCAGATTTATCACACAAGCAAGTGGAGTTCCTGCTCACTCCATTTTTTAACTTTGGAAAAATCTTTTGGAATACTTGACTTCCCTCTTCAATCCCATTACTATAGAGGACACCAAAGGGACTGTTCTTAAGACAGATACCACTTTTGGGATACTTGACTTTATCCTCCAATCCCATTACTCTCGAGAAGACAGGAGGCATCGTTCTTAAGGCAGCCCCCCCCCCCTTCTCTGGGCTTCTCCCCTTTCCTTCCAATTTCTCAATCATGAAAGACTGAAACAAAGTTAAAAAGCTAGCAGTAGCACAATTTCAAAAGGCAAGATTACTATGAAGGCAAAATGACAGGAAAAACAAAACGATKATATCTTGAAGTGTCATTATTTCTATTAATTAAATTAATTTTTTTTWTAAATTACCATGTTGGTCTCATGAAGCAGGATTTTGGGAAAGAAATGCCAATGCTTAGTAGGAGACTGCCCATAGGAGCAGCCACTACTCCACATCACCAAAGCAATACAACATGAGCAAATTTGACCAATCCCATCCCACGTTCCCCTCCTGTATTCTCCCATTTCCACTCAAATCGTGTGCTCAGAAGATGATCTCTGAGCTGTATTTTTCATTATTTTATTGTATTCTTATGCTTTATTTATTTTATTGTGATGTTTATTTTGTATTTTCGTTTTATTTTGTTGTAAAGCATTTCTGGGCTTGGCCTCATGTCCACTTTGGGGAGGTGGTGGTGGGGTATAAATAAAGTTTATTATTATTATTATTATTATTATTATTATTATTATTATTCCCCCCCCCCCCCCGCCGCCCCAAATTCACAACACTTTTAGAGTTTCCTGGCAGAACTGTTTACATCATTTGATGGACTCCATGATGCTTCACTGGGGAACTGTTTTAGAACTATTAAGGAATGAGGGGGATGGGATTGTGTTGGATAATGTCCTAGGAAACCAGGCTTTGAATCCCCATTCAGCCATGGAAAGCCACTCAGTTTCCAGGAAAACAAGGGCAAACTCCCTCTGAACAAAATTTTCCAATAAAATCCTGTGATAGGGTTGGCTTAGTTTCACCATAAATCAGAACCTTCTTGAAGGGACACAACAACAATAACAATATTTTTAAATATGACTCACCAATGTACATGCTGGCACCAAATGAGTTATACCATTCATCATCCTCAGCATGGGAGCCCTAGCTGTCATTCACCCCACAAAAAAATCTGGATTGGTACATGGTTATAAAGGAAACCAAGCTAAATATTTGGATAGGACAGACCAGTTGTTAAAGCAGAGTTATGGAACTTAAGCCTGCCAGATAGTGCTGAACTAACATTCCCAACAGCCCCAGTTTGGCCTTTCTGTCTAGACACAACATGAGCTAAAATCCAACACATCTGGGAGGTTCCAGGAGAAGCATGGCTGCATAAATACATATATATGCAGGTACATCTGCTTGGAGAATTTGGCAGGAGAGTTAAGCAAAAGGCTTGGTTCTTCAAAGAGAGTACCATGCAGTGCATTACTAGAGATTACAAAAGCATGGAGGACACCTTCCCACAGTGCACGCATCTCAGGGGGCTTTTATCTGCTTTATTCCTAATAGGCATATTGAAAAAGAATGGAGATTTCCACAAACAATTCCTTTTAGGAGCTGTGACAAAGCTCACCTGATTGCCATGGAAACAACCTCTTTTATCCTGTTTATTGAAAACCTCAGGAATATATATTAAAAGAAACTACAGCCAGTGGCAATTTTATATTCCCACACAACAGTGTAGTGATATATTGTAAAGTGCAGGCTCTCACTAGGACACCATCCAAAGCCATGTCCATCAGGAAAATATCCATATGCATTCCTCCCACCCCAGAGGGAGCAAACACTCCTATTGAAAACATCTACAGAGATCTGAAACCAATTAACCAATCAGGCATTTGTTATAATTTCAAAATTAAGTTTAAAGGGTGTCATTATGTAAAATTATGAGTGCCAAAAACTATGTCAATAGAGTGGACTATGCAATTGTCCTAATTCGACAGGGACTATCCTGATTACTCCTCTTTTATCCTACTTTTAAAACGTTCCAGGTTCTCTCTCTTCTTCCCTCTTTTCCTTGTTTTCTCTTCCATGGAGCAAACTTAGCTCAAAGTGCAAATGTACTTTATGCTCCATTATTAAGATATGAGAGACTGCAGAGGTTTGCCCCGGTCGGATATATATACTAAGGGGGAAACGAGTGGAGGTATTTGAATCTTGCCCTTTCCAGTAGGCTCAGGAAAAAGCAAACCACTGCAGTCTCTCATATTTTAATAACAACAACAACAACAACAAAGTATGGATCGTCGATGTTGCAATCCCAGGTGACAGTAGAATTGATTAGAAGCAATTGGAAAAGCTTACACGATATGAGGATTTAAAGATAGAACTGCAAAGACTCTGGCACAAGCCAGTAAAGATGGTCCTAGTGGTGATTGGTGCACTGGGTGCAGTGCCTAAAGACCTTTGCCTGCACTTAAAAACAATCAGTGCTGACAAAATTACTATCTGTTAGCTGCAAAAGGCCACCTTTCTTGGATCTGCATGCATTATCTGCCAACATATCACACAGTCCTAGACACTTAGGAAGTGTCTGACATGTGACCAAATACAAAAGCCAGCATAGTGATCTTGTTTGCTGTGTACTAATCTTGTTATGTATATAATAATAATAATAATAATAATAATAATAATAATAATAATAATAATACAATTGTGTTAAAAAAACAAAGTATGGATTGTTGATGTTGCAATCCCAGGTGACAGTTGGATTGAAGAGAAACAACTGGAAAAGCTTACACAATATGAGGATTTAAAGACTGAAGTGCAAAGACTCTGGCACAAGCCAGTCAAGGTGGTCCCAGTGGTGATCGGCATACTGGGTGCAGTACCTAAAGACCTTGGCCTGCACTTAAAAACAATCAGTGCTGACAAAATTACTATCTGTCAGCTACAAAAGGCCACCCTGCTTGGATCTGCATGTATTATTTGCCGATACATCATACAGTCCTAGACACTTAGGAAGTGTCTGACATGTGACCAAATACAAAAGTCAGCATAGTGATCTTGTTTGTTGTGTACTAATCTTGTTATATCTCTAATAATAATAATAATAATAATAATAATAATAATAATAATAAATCTTTATTTGTATTTTGCCCTGTCTCCCCAGTGGGAACTCTTGTCTCTGCTTTCTC